CGTTAAGTGTATAGCTAACACTGTTCAATTTGTCCATAGGCGCATGATCCGATCAATCATATCAAGAGTCACATGCCGGCATCAAACTTGTTTGAGCGATGAAAGCAAAAGCCTGAACGTAGATTAGCTTGCGCAAACAATTTGATTGATCGAGTGCGCAATCAAATGCTATAAAATAGAAAAAATGTCAACGTAGGAACTTATCTAAACTTCACATCGATGTCTGAATGATAACTTGTGTCTGCCTTGGTTTGCCTGTTCTGAGCTACTGCTTGGGTTATTTCATGCATTCTACGTAATGCATCTAAATAACTTGTGTCTGCCTTGGTTTGCCTGTTCTGAGCTACTGCTTGGGTTATTTCATGCATTCTACGTAATGCATCTAACAGTAAACGCAAACGCAGTGCGTCCAACGGAATCGGAATTACCTCGCAGGCTCGCCCCCCAAGTTTTCAGTCATATAGAAAAGACAAGTATTTCCAATATTTTATACTTTTCACTGGACCCTAATTTTATGCTACAGTTTTGAAAATATATGCTGCGCATCTACGAAAGATTAGCCCCGAAAGCGTCAAGCCGCTAATTTAAAATTTGGAAAGTACCTACTTGAGTATTGGTCTTTTCAGTGTCATTCATGGCCAGCTGATGTTCTAGTTAGATTGAAGTATTTCCAATATTTTATACTTTTCACTGGTCCCTAATTTCATGCCTAAGTTTTGAAAATATATGCTGCGCATCTACGAAAGATTAGCCCCGAAAGCGTCAAGCCGCTAATTTAAAATTTGGAAAGTACCTACTTGAGTATTGGTCTTTTCAGTGTCATTCATGGCCAGCTGATGTTCTAGTTAGATTGGTATCTTAAAATGAGTACACATGGTTCAAAGCGTGTGCGGGAGATCAGCTCTGACTTAGCAGGACAGATAATACTAAGGAGCTCGCGCTGTAAGCGTGCGTCTAATTGTAAGTATGCTCAAGTCTGAAAGAGTTGCTCGATCTGAACATGGATTGAATCTTGTTTCAGGTTACCCAAAGCTTTCATCTTTGCTATTTTCCACAATCGACTAGCCAATCAAGTCGCTATAGAGCTCACTACAAAACCTCAAGAAGGAAATCGCGATACCCCTTCGTTCTCACTATGTAGCCAACGAATGTGAGTATCAGCTGACTGTGGTAAAGCTAGACAACACCAATCCTGTATATTTTCTCTTCTACAGCAGAAGTTGAAATACTTCCCATGTGCGAAGGCCCCCATAAACGCCGAAGACTACTGTAAGTGCGTTTAAAGAACTTGTTATATGCCATGCAGTAAAAACTAGTGCACGCAAAGTTTCCGTTTGCATATTTTGGTCTGCATCAATTCGACGAAACTGTAGTGAATTCCGCAGACTTGTGCGACGCAAGCATATTAAACTAGTCATGTGACGAATCTAAAACTACAACACGCCCAGCACACTCGGGTTATCACTGTTTCTTTAAGCAGTAACCGTGTAGGAGACCGAACACGGCAGAGGGCATCAGAGGTAACCTTCGTGAGGTATGAGTCAGCGAAGAAGAATCATGGCGACCACTGTGGGTGTCCCCTCAGAGATCGAGTTCCGATGCTGAGCAGTCTCCCTAGCTTCTTCCATCTCTCCCTGGATTGTGAGCTAAAGTGAGCAGTGTGAGCTGAGTTAGTGAGCTAGTCAGTGGCGTCACTTCCGTAGAGCTCTCTGAAAGCAACGCAAAAAACGCGAAAATGCAAAATGAACCAATCAAATTCATTGCGAGTGCAGAGAAGTTCCTAGGCAAAGACTATCAATCTAACTGTAAGAAAAGCTAATATTCAAAAAACAGACAACGTGCAAACAGAAAGTGAGCCTATCTAAAACCTAGTACAAAAATTAGAACACAAAATTTGAGCCTTCACATTTTAGAGACTATCTGCAGATTTAAAAAAAAAAAACTTCAGAGCAAACAGATCCTACTATATGTCAAGTGGTTCACATCAGTGACTCATTTTCACCGGGAAGAATATTAAAGGGGAAATGCCATGAACTTCCAAGATTTGCCCAGGTTATACATTTTGTTCTGAAGAAGCAGCACTTTCACGCCACTCAGAGGAGAGGACACGTAGATAGTGAACGCATTTCAGAAGCCGGCCATAACACAAACCTGCACCAGTCGGCTGTGGTGCCCGGTCGCCACATTCGGGGTCATAGGGGCTTGCCGAAACTTTGAAACACGGGTATACCGACCACCCTCGTGGTATCGGCAAGCTAGGTAAGTGTCACAGACAGCCACCAAAGAAACGCGAAAAGCATACCACATGTCCTCTCCTCATGTGTGGGCAAACAGGTTGAAGAATAGGCTTTGGACGATGATGGATTGGATAAGAGCCACGATAAAGAACCACTTGACAGGCAACAGAGATGAGCAGAACCGTTAATAAAACATCTTTGTTACAAAATGTAAGAAAATCTCGAGTAATAGATTTTTCTGTGATGAGATTTTTGATCCACTGAGCATTGCAAAACAAGGAATCGTTCATGCAAAAAATCCGCCCACTTCGTCATTCGAGCCATGATTAGAACTGGCCTTAAAATCAATTGTGCGGAAAGAACTACTGTCACAGCATATACATATCATACTATTATAGTACTGATGGCCTAAAAACGCAAAACAAGGGCCTAAAATCCGTCCAAAACGTGCGCTGACGTCAAAAGCTTCAAGAGTCAGCTATGACAACTGGCGGCAGACTGCTAGCCCCTCTCAGTGGGTGATGATTAATAGTGGGAATGTGAGACCGTTGCTATTCTGCATCATTATTTCCCTGTGCTTTTGTTGAGCCGGACCGTATCATTCTTTAGCATTTCGATCTCTAAATAACTTTTGCTCTTACCTTCCAGTACCCACTAGTAGTAGTCAATATCACCCCCCCCCCCCCGTTTATCTACAGTGGAGCGCAATATTTACGAATCACATAATAAACATTAGGACCATTCGCTTATCATCATTCTTCGTCAGAGATTGCGTCATTCAAGACGTTTTTCCGACCTTATTCATTCGTTCTCTATCACTCATCTCTCTATTACAATCTCTGTTTACCGTTCGGATGATCAGTTTTACTTCAGCTACGTAAAAATACATCAACTGAACCGAACTTGCTTGGTTCTTAGATCATGATCGACTTTACCTTAATCTTAGAATGAACCTTGAATTATAAGTAGAGTGCCGTAGGCCCTCCTGAAACTATGCAACCTTACTGGGCTCACATTCTTCTCAAGGGAAGAAAATCCTAAACACAATTTTCTATCTCAGAAGCCATGGAGCTAGATCGACCAGCCTAGACTTTTGCGCACAGTGAGCTAAGGCACTCCTAGGTTATGAATGCTTCTCCCTCTGGGAATATCCAGTGGCCCCCAAGAATAATAGGAACGACCCTCTCGCGCCCCAAAAAATCAACAGTGAGGGCATAGTTTGAGCCCCATTACCGGCTCGTACGGACTTCCCGCCTCTCAATCGATGTCACCTCATCACGTCAAACCAGTGTCAAGATAATACAGATTGCAAATATTCGTTCTAGGACCCACACACAATCAGCTGATCGCCGAGTGATGAGGCGGTGTTTTTCTTTCCATTCTTTTTTTCCTCAGCTATCCTTTTTGCTACCGCTATCCCTTATTTAACTTCTTACCCCAAGAGGCTTAAAAAGGTGAGCTACTTTTGCTGTTACTAGGGTTTTTTGTTTACTTATGCTTATAAGTGAATGAATTTTGCTTACCGTAGCCTGTTATTCGTGCCAGGACCACACTTATGCACTGACACACACTGTCTAGCTCGCCCAAACGCCCCATTCTTATTCATTTTTATGGTCTCATTTTTGTCCACATCCCCTTTTTACCATTTTTTGAAGCTTTTTTCCACTTTGAAAACACCGATTCACGCAGTTTTTCCGCTTTCATCACACCATTTTCCAACATATCTTTCATTTTTCGCCATAGTGTGGATTGCCCAGAATTATAGTAAACTGTGCCTTTAAGCGAACAAGCGAAACCGGCGGTCGAATAAGATTCAGCTGAAATCGAGTATGCAACCGACAAAGAAATTTTGATCGCTAAGATTTTGCGGATCCTCCGGCGCTAGTCGCTATTGCCCTCGCTCCTTTTCCGTTGCCGGTTACTCTTCACCGGCTTATCCACAGACGCCTAGTGCGATGGCGGATGATGTTAAACAGCCTTGCAGCGGCAATTATATCGATCATGGTGAATCGGAGCCATTCTTCACCAACCCCCTTAAGCTGCAACCAGCTTGTTCGGTCGTTTGTTTCGTCACTGTACCCTGGTACAATGCTGGGAATGGAGAGGCTCCAGAGGCCCAACTTCACGATTCTCTGCGCTTTCTGATTTCTTGTTCTCCCTAATCAGCATCATCAAAGTCATTCGATTACTCGCCATTTATTATTCACCTTCAACTAAGGTGCGTACTCATTTTATTCCCCCACCACTGCGCTCAAGCGCAAATGTTATTGTAAACCATATGGTCGCAGAACAAAGCCAGAGCTACTGCGAAAATAAACAAATGAGAAAAGCCAAGCAATAGCATAAATCCGGTTCGATCGGAAACACCAAGAAAGGTTCCTCGCAGATTGCAGCAATGCAGAAGCCTTCAGCTTCCTGGAACACTACAGTACCATTTGGGCTTAAGAGAACAACTCCGAACTTCCACACTAAGCAAGAATCACCCAATGCTACCTCTAAGACCAGCGAGCAGCAGCTGCCTAGCTTAAAAGCAAACCACAGGGTCAACTTCAAACTAGACTACTCGGGCAGATTTGAAAGACCTTTCGAAAACGTGGACGTTTAATGTGAAGCTAAAGGATGCCAAATGAAATGGTATACAATTACATTGTTTACCGTGATGTTGACGATGGCCGGCGTTTGTTGAATGTAGTGAAGACGTTGAAAAGATGAGTCGAATGTAGCTGGTGGTTTTGCAGGAAATGTCGACGGTGAAAAAGAAGATTTAATTCTAACAATACTCGCTAAGTTTGACATCGATGGGAAGTTAGTAGGAACAGAATGAAGTGTTGCGCAAACGCGGATAAGTTCGGGACAAACGAGGTTTGACAGAGGGTGGTATAACAGATGAGCAGGAAGAAGATGCTACCATGTGATGAAAGCTAGATATAGCTCTAGAGGGTCTGAGAAAGCCTCTAGTAATAGAGTGAAACGTATAGATAGAGGTTGATAGAGACAGGCACAGGCGGTCGCACACGGATAACCAAACTAAACCAAGTTCGGGAAAGAAGGCGAAGTAATGAACTCGATATAAGGAAAGAAGAAGAGGTAAGCTAGGAAACACTGAACGAAAAGAGGGTTAGAACAGACAGTAAATGGCCGTGGTAAAAGAATCGAAGGATGAGGCAGAGGACAGAGACTTTTCAGAAACAGACAGAACTAACTAAAGAAGAGATCTCATCGTATTCTGAGTCATGGATTTGTTCTTAAAGTTACATTACTGGAAAGTTCAGTGATGTTAAGAAAGTTTGAAAGTAGAAAACAAAGACGATCAACTATCTTTGTCAAGTCGAAAGCTGGAGTTTTACAAGCGTCAAATAACCTGCAATAGAGTAGAAATGTCAACATCTAGAAAAGTTAACAACAAACAATTATGTTTTCCACTTCGGAATGAACCAGTCAGTCGTCTCGGAACTCAGCGGCTCCGGTAAAATCTCCTATCTCACGTTCAGCGTTAGGCATTCTGGCCATTGAGTACATACTGTAAGCCTGTTGCCCGGTGATTTCCTTCTCGATTTTCAAAAAATCTGGCAACGGTACTGGTTCTCCTTTAGGGATGGTGGTGTACGTCTCGAGGAAGATCAAATGACCATTCAACTGTAGTGATGCTGCCGACGGTGGGATAACGGTGTACAAATCAAGATTGAAATACTGATTTCCAACCATGAAACAGCGTCTCTGCTTATGAAGTGAGGCCCGACTTCTATCTTTCATTGTCCGATAACGAGTGTACTCCCGGAACGTTATCTGTGTTCTCGTCTCGACGAATTCCTTTCCACGATGGAGTTCACGCCTTGTCACGGTGTAAGTAGAGCGACCGTTCTGTTCACGTTTGCGAATACGAATCTGGGTATCAGTGTTGTCCGAAAGGAGATACTCGTGCACGATATTGAACTGTTCATACTTCACGAAGCGTGACTCGTCGATGCTTCTCACTAACCACTTACGTTTCCTACTGTTCTTACTGAGTCGATCTTGTGAATCTATACCCGTGCGATCACAAACCAATTGGATGAGCTTGAGAACTTTATCCTCGAATTTGGTGCATTCAGTGTTGTCGACTATGTCCAAATAAGGATGTCCCAACCAAGCTTTTCTTGTCTTGTCATCTTGCTCTTTCGCTGCAGCAACATTCTCGTTCCTTGTTGCGTTGTTTGCTAATGTGTAGTACTCTTCGGCACCATCTGCAGCAGTCACCAGGTGTACCACTTGGTCATAGCGTTTGTTGAGAAGATCGAACTCTTCCACACCGATTTCGCGAAGCATCCTAAGCCATGAATCGCGGTCAATGTACGCCGAGGGATCCATTCCTCCACGGTCACAGATTATGAGAACATTGCGACCGGTGCTGGCTTCGGCTTGATTGAAGTACGTCTGCTCAATTTGAAGCATCGTTTTCAACAGATCCCTTTGGAATAGATACGCCTGATCATGACTCAGTTCATCGAATCTTACTCGTCCTCCTAGTAGAATAGTAGCTGTCTCGGGCACAGTATACACTTTCCAGCCAATATTTTCGAAAAACGTAGCAAGGCGATCCTGACCAGTTGACTTTCCACCACATGGACCGCCAGTGAGAACTAACTTGTATACTTGTCGAGGTTTAGGCGACAAGGGAGCGCTAACCTCCATTCTACTCAGAAAATAAAAACCGACGTGACAGCTCCACGATGGCTTGGTTCTGTGAAGATCTTTTGTACCTGAAATAGATGCGCTCAGAAATCTAACATGATATTTCATATACAAAAGTCCAACTTACTACTCGAACGGCACCGAAAAAACTAGCGATCTGTTCCTTTGATTCTATCGGAAATTCCTTAGAAGCATCCAAGCAAAACGATCAAGCTAATCTGAAAACGGATGAAGACGCCAATAGATTTTCGAATTGAGTTGAATTCTCGTTAGACTTAACAAATTGAGTATTAGAGGGCAGCGGCTAACTAGAGAATCAAAAACGGCAGTGAGTGCTTTTCTTGCTTCGCCGTGCAAGCTTTATCGGCTGCGGCGATCTTTAAAATATTACAGTGTCTAAATCACGTGACAATCGAAATGTTACAAAACACCGTGAGATCTGAAGGTTTTCTTCTGAACCATGCGTCATTCACATTGCCACGGTGTCGTGGTTCTCAGGCTCAGCGAGTTTTACTGTGCTATTTCTAATAACTTCATAGGAGCACTAAAGAGTATTAATGACTTCCAATAACTATACGTTCGCAACCCGAAAGTTTCTTTATTAATCAAAACGCATGATCGTCTACAAAGCAGATGAAGACCCATTGGAGAGTGTATGCAGTGCTATCGATACTGAAAGACCAAGATTAATAATCAAAACCAGAGAATCGAGAAATTGTGGAATCCAAGAATCAATCTGCCCTTCAATCAAGACTCTGACCGCGGAATCAATGAAAAGATCCGTTTGAGCTCATCCTGAGAATTCAGTCTTTTTTTAACAATTACCCAACAACTCTAACATTTCCCCTTTCTTCCAACCCACCTACGTATACCCCTTCTATCGAACAACCCGTTTTGTCATAGATGTGGATAATTAGGATCACAAGACGATAACACGTGTTTCGAATACATTTCCTCACACATGAAAACCTATTCTTCTCTGTAAACTGCTAACAAAAACATGTAAGAGAACAGGGTAACGATCCTGTCTTGAACCAAAGTAACAAGCCGTCTACTCCTTGCATGGGGAGGGGAAGGATATAAAAGAGAAGCCAGACCTCAACACGAACGAGCCGCGTGAGGAAGAAGAAGTGCGTCATGACAACCGCAAGTTTGCCGCCCTCCAATATCACTAACAGAGAGCAACCCTCAGCAGCGGTTCACCGAACTAGTTTCTGATACATGAATTCAATAAAAAAAAANAAAAAAAACCATCAAATCAGATTACTCCTACATCAAAGAAGCGCTTACAGCAAGATGACTAAATTGCCGTGCGCAGACAAGCGGACTTTCAGTAATGAATGAGCAACTCTCACAGGGAAATCACAATACCCAGAATAAAGTTGCCCAAATTGAACTGAGAAATACTCGACACCACAAAAAAGCGATCGTTCTGGTCACTGGTTTTCGCCGAGCAAGCCTTATTGTGTAGATCTAATAAGAAAAAATCAGTATACAATCTATGAAGAATGGCGTGTTAAGTGGACTGACCTTTTTATATTGTCCAATCTGCTACGAACTAAGCAACCCATCGAGGCCCAGTTAGAACTCCCAACAAACATTAATAGTATCTGAACAACTTTTCACTTTAACGACGAAAACCAAGATGTAAGTAAGACGTAGACCACAACGGGCAGTACTGTTAACACAATTATCACACCCTAGGCCGTAAATGACCAGTTATAAAGGAGTATGCAAAAATAAGCCAGATTTGACGTCACCCAACGTCGAGCTTAGGAGAACCTTACACTGCCAGTCTTTTGGACGAGTTCTCGCGCGCGCGCTATATCATATCTGCAGACTCACTACCGTAAAATCCGCCTAATTCTTTGCAAATTTGTGAATCGACGTGCAACTGCAAAGGACGCCGTGTACTCTTCTGAGTACATACAATACCTTCTTTTCTGTGACCTCATATTTAAGTGGTTGGTACGTTCTAATCGTGAAATTAGCGGGTCTTTCACATTGGATCCTTTAATTGATTAGATTTTTGCAGTGCTTAGAATTAATTTTGTGCAGGTGTTAAAAGAGCTTTTGAATGCCGGATTTCTTCGGAATTGGAAGAAGCTATGAACACTACAGCTACCCATGTATACATTTCAACTGTTGCTTGTAATTTTAAGCTTGCCAGTTTAGCTTGTAGTTCTAGACATAACTGGTTATGAACCTGCAGTTCCAACTTAATTCTTTTTCTTGCTTTCATAATATGCTCTAGTTTTCGATCAACTAAGTCCATGACTTATTGCTTGCTCTTCCATGATGGTTATTCGGTTCTACTTCGGTTGTGATATATGGGCTTTCTGATTTCTGCTTTTATTTTCTGCGTTGAAAGCACCAGGTTTTCCAGCGGTTCCCGTCCTACCGTCAACTTTGACGTCTTGGACGACATCCAACTTGGAAGACTTTTGTTGGGATGGTATGAATATTTGTCATTCAACATTTTCTGAGATTTTTTTTCGGTTCCAGATCAATTGTTTGTGGTAAATTAGCCATGAACATACGGTGCTTATCTGCTTTCAGGCACTTTTTGGATTTGGGCAATCAGCTGATATTACGATAAAATTGGATGATGAAGAAACGCGCAAGGTTTGTTATATTTTTGCGCAGTTTAAATTAAAATAGAATTTGTCTATAGAAAANAAAAGTGTAAATTCTTCGTTTTCAGGAAGCACTCTGTTGTTTAGATGAGGTAGCCTTACTTTAGCCTTACGTCTAAAAGTGCAAACGGCTTCCGTTGAACTTATGAACTGTACCATGAAAATTTCACCCGGAAAATGTTTTTTGACCAAGCATGTTCATTGTCTAAACCATTGCAATTCGGTCTTTGTGGAAACTGATAATTAAGTTCGCAATCGAGGCACTTATTAGGTTCTTACTCCATAGTTTTTCTTAATCTGGGGTTTTCATATAGCTGATTTGTACTTATTGTGACTCATTTGCAGTTTAAAAGGTGGAGCTCAACAACTCCAACACAAAAATATTGCGTAAAACTTCATATTTGGCACTGTTTGCTTTTTCTTTTTTGACAGAATGTCAAAAGCGTCCTTTAAGACAGCAAAGATACGAGGTGAAGATGGTCAACAGGAAACTCACTACTTGTTCTATGACGGTGAAACCATTGCTGGAACGGTAAATGTAGCCTTGAAGAAAGCCAACCAAAAACTGGAACATCAAGGCATTCGAATTGAATTCATTGGGCAAATAGGTGCGCCATTTTAAATTTTGAGGTGCTTTTAGCAGGCATTTTTCTTCAGCCTAGCCCTTGCTATTTCAGAGGTATACTACGATCGTGGGAATCAACAGGACTTCATTTCTTTAACTAAGGATCTTGCAAGACCTGGAGAACTGACGCAGAATTCCTCCTTTCACTTTGAGTTTCACAATGTAGAAAAGCCATACGAGTCGTACATGGGAATTAATGTTAAACTAAGGTAGGCTGGATTAACAGCGGGTTCTTACTTTTGATTTTGGTCCCCAGTAAAACTCTAATTCTGCTTAAGATACTTTCTTCGAGTTACCATTGTACGACGGATCACGGATATCACGAGAGAAATGGATCTCATCGTTCATACTCTGAGCAGTTATCCTGACGCGGATGTCAATCTTAAGATGGACGTACGTCTTTTTTACTTCATTTTTGCTATTGATTGCCCTTCTAATTGGGCTCACAATGTGCTTTCCAGTTTTGTTTTAATATTAGGTTGATGCATAATTATTGCGGATTTTTCCAACAAATTTTATTTAACGGAACGATAAAAANACTGAGTAAAAACTTGTTCAAATAATTACTCTGGAACTTATCACCATCTACATTAAGCAGTGCTTCTCATTGGCTAGATAGTCGGGTTCCAAAAGCGAAGAAGTTTTGATCCTTGGGGGCGATCCACGCCTTGATAAGGCCATCAGGTCATTCAAATCGACGTAACTTCTATTCCCTAGCCATTCTTCAGCGAACAGTTGACGAGATAATCCATAGAAGTTTCTGCTGGTGAATATGGCAGATTTAGGAGCAGATCCCATTTCCTGGTTGGCTTTGGCCGAAAGGTTCCATCGCCGAAAAGTTACTGAGATCGCGGAATGACTCTGCCACCTTCCGACCTTTCTCGAAGTAGTAAAGCCTAATTTCGCGAATATGCGGATGATTTTCTAAGTATATTTTTGAAGAGGAAATCAAACAGATCATTTCTAACAAAACCGTAACTCAATATTTGAATTCTATCGAGAGAAAAAAAGCCGCAAGAAAATCCGCAATAATTATACATCCACATAATAATTTTACGTTACTTGTCATTTACTAAGTCACTGTTCAGTTGGATGCGTGTTCTGTCATCTTGCTCGTAATGTCATTCACCCTAAATGAAATCCTACCTACAACTTTCGGAGCTTCAGTATAGTCTTCTACTTTTATTCTTCTCCTTTTACGAGCTTATGTCTGTCTTTCATAAAGATTGTCTTGTAAATCTTTTTTTGGTTCTTGAATACTTTTCCAGGATTTAAATCACTCAATCTTTCCCACTGCCAGCTTGAAAGTTTACACTATTTATTCGGGCTTTGACCCCTGATCTTGCCGTTCCACTCAGTTGTCCTTCACCATCACTTGAGAAATGTGTACGTATCAACAGCTTTCCGTGTCCGGAAGGATCAAGCGAATAAGAGAACAGAACCAAAGAATTTGTCCATTGCATAACTGTCACCTTTTTGAATCAGCCTGTAATGCTGCTGAATAGCTTAAGCTAACGAGCTAGCAACCGCTCGGAACCTCGTAGAGAACCTCCGTCATTATGAATGTCCGTTCCTTTGATCACTAGCATTGGTTGCATTCATAATATCTACGCCGACATCGTGGTGAACTCATAAAATTGACGCCGGCAATTTCCCTTGATATCGCGAAGATCGGTGATTTTGACTAATTTATCTATCTCCAGGAGTTGTAAGTGTATGTATTACCTCACCATTTTAAATGAACCTATTGATCACAGATTTTGAAGTGATTGCCTTTTGGTCCATTGCGCACGACATTGCTTCTTGTAAATTGGTCCCTTTTGATTCTATACTAAATGTAATGTTGATCTTAATGGTTTCTAAATTTATGATGCTTGGTCATGGTTCATATGCATCGTTCATATGACTCACAGTAAAATTTAAGCATTCATGCGCGTGTTTTTTTTCTTGTTTTCGAACGCTTGCAACCAACACTAACATCGTTGTCTGCAGTGCGAATGCAATTAATTACTTCATCCGCTTCGATACCACTTCAACTTCTATGGCATGCCGTATCTACCTTAAAATCACGCAATATTCGCTTCTAATTTTATTGGCGCCCTCCTTAATTCGCTATGGAACCGCATGTCCAATCGATTTTCTCGAGTTTCTCTGGTTTACTGCGGTTCCTTCTGCTAGATTATTTCAATTCTACATAGTTCTTTCCTATTTTCTTTCTCTCATTGAAATTCTTGTAAATATGTCTACGTCGTATTGTTTTGATATTAAACAAATGCTTTTCAGGTCGGAATAGAAGACTGCCTGCACATAGAATTCGAATATAACAAGAGCAGGTATTTCCTTGTAATGTTCGCTATAGAACAATATATCAGTTATTTCTTTGCTCCTCACACGAAGATTTGATAATATTAAGTTATTGGAATTATTTAACATTCCACAAACAGTGCTTCGTTTTTAATGGTCTGTTGAACATTAATATTACTTGATGCAGCATTTTGTGATTATGTTTCCCCTTTTCGATTCCGATTGAATCTTTAAGCTGTTGAGGATTTGACAGTTTTTTGGATTCACTCACGAATTCTTACGTTTTGTTGCAGTGGTCCTTTTTTTGATATTGACTATACTAATTCTTCGAATATAACTGTTGCGCATTTTGATTTTTTAGGTACCATCTTCAAGATGTCATAGTAGGCAAAATCTACTTCGTGCTGGTTCGCATTAAAATAAAGCACATGGAGATCACCATAATCAAGTCCGAAACAGTGGGATCCGGTCCAAATGCTGCTAAAGAAACCGATCCCGTGGCAAAATTCGAAATAATGGATGGGGCCCCTGTCAGAGGTGAATGTGGTTCCGCGATAGCCCAGTTTTTTTTTTCTCTCGATGGAACGCATTTCATACTTTTTCAGGAGAATCTATTCCTATTCGCCTTTTCCTTGCTGGACACGATCTTGCCCCTACCATGCGGGATGTTGGTAAGAAGTTCTCCGTTAGGTACCTTTTGAATCTGGTTTTGGTCGACGAGGAGGATCGGCGGTACTTCAAACAGCAGGTATTTCTTCTTCCAAAAATAGGATAGAAACAAATTCTTTGGAATTGGCAAAGTTATTTTCCGCTCTGTCATGCTTCCAATGTTATTCATAACTCCTCTTATCACTTGGGTTGTCCCCTTCGCAAGTTTTCTTTGTACGCAATTACTAATTGGGTGTGTCGGTTTGTTTATCGGTCTGTCTGTGGGTCTCATCGTCCGGCAAAGTTTCCATGGTCGTTGTATAGGTAGCAATGATATGAAACCCACCAGAAATCGATAATTAGCATAGATCTTAGCATAGCTGCCTACTTCGCCAAGTAATTCCGATCAGTCGACAGCTGTTATCATCAATTTGTGGTGAATATGTTAACTATTTGGTCCTTTTCATGTGTAGAGCAACCACATAAATTTGTAAAGGATGCAGACAGATAGTAGAACTCAGAACTATGTTGTCAACGAATATGACTGGACACAAGTCAGTACTATGCTATCACTCTGTACTAATGAACCGTGAAGATCGCCTCGCATACGGCATTTTAAGCTTTGCATTTGAAGCACAGTTATGTGGATTATCCCTATAATTCATTACATTAGATAGCCTTACTCGTTACTGATCTCAAGCCGTATTCGAAGGTAGATTTTCCTCATCCGTGGTGGAAGACTGGTAACGGCCATAACTGCACTACTCAGCTTCCTAGTTTTTCTGATTTGCTAGCACTGTCACGACAAATAGAAAAATTCTAAATTACCATAGCAAGTATATTTTCACTTGAGTCTTGCCCTTGATGGTAGGCATTTTTACAAAACCGTTCTACTTACTTTTTCCGATGCCCTATTACTCTATGTTTTCACTTTTTTAGGAAGTAACTTTGTGGCGTAAGGCCGACAAGCCGGTTAGGACTGTGCTGGAACCGAACACTACGGAAGCGAGCCCGAACGGAATAGAAGATACAGTCAGGGTGCAGTCTGGTGGGGACCAGGAAACTGATAGAGGTGCGGCTGAAGACGAGCAGTAGGAGCCTTTACTTAAAACTTTCACAAGTGTTTTGTAGCATTTTTGAACCTATTAAGTTGTCCCATATCATTGATGAAGTTCTATTTATTTTGCCAGGAGTGAGGTGAACTTCTCGGTACCATTAATTCAATAATTTAACAATGCTTGAAATGTGCGCGCCTCAATTAGTTGTGTTTAGAGTTGTTGTGGAACGAATTTCGCAATATCATTGTTTTTAATATACGGTATAACTTGTATAATCCTAAACATGCATGTAAGCCCGTTGATTGCGCCCGATGATTACGAGTGGGTTGTTGTACAGTGCTGCATAAGAATTACTTCCATTTTAGACATGTTTTACGAATCCATATGATTTATCTAATGATTTTTTGATCCTTTATAATTTTTAATTATTTGAATGTAGCATTGTTGACATTCTGTGATACATTTTGTCTGATTGATAAAGTCTATTTCGAATCTTTTAACTGATCAGGCATTGTTTATCCAGAGGAATATCGGTAGCGAGCAACATTTAATAGCAGTTCCATATTTCTTTTATTACATTGTATGAATTATCACATGAATGTGAGTGATTCATCGAGATAGAAAATAGGCGCAGTCAGAATTGTTATTGAATTTTTGGATTGTGCAGTCTACTTGCATCATTTCTGTTTCAAATTATTGATCTAGCCGTAGGGAAAGAACTGTGGACTTGAGTGTTTTTCTGTATTCACAAGGAATTTNTTTGGCGTCAAACTGCTTCAAGTTGGTATGGCAATAATTCCAAGTGTCATTTAGAGTGTTTTATTTCGTTTTATTGGCTGCAAGTTGAGTGTCGTTCAGCTACGGTGTTTCCATAATTGGGCATTTGCGGAGCATCTGTTCAAGATGGTGAGTTGGATTTTTTCGCCCGCTTTTTTTTCCTTTTGGGTTTACCGCTAGTTGTTCGGAATCTGCGTCCTCAAGGTTAATGATATTTGATAATTTTGAGGGCCATGGGACTGCTGTCGGCTGAGCCATATCAGAGCTGGTGTCGACTTCTATGATTTCTTGCCAGGCCTTCAATATGTTTTCTTCGGTGTTGTTCGCGCTTTTTCATATTACGCAGTTAGACCTACTCTTAAAATCAATAGGTAAACCTTTTCCAGAGGTGGCTGGCTATTTCCAAATTATGCTAATATGCACACCGCATATATGTTGGCGCTTGATGAACGAGAGATTGATTATGTTTACTCTTTCTGACTCCTGAGACCTTTTAAGTCCTACGTTTAGCAGATGTTAGGAGGAGCTTCATTTATGATGGGTTCCTTGAAGGGACACTGAGAAACAAGCGGTTTAAGTGTTTGTTGTTGTGGTAATGGATTCCCTATTTTTTTGGCAATGGAAGTGAAGATGGATGTCGTCCTAAGCCGTGCACTTGATTGACCATTGGCCGTCAACTGGGAATCCTTGTCAGTCAACTAGGAATCGATTTTTGGACAAAAGAGTTTAAAGGGGTCCAAGATGTTGCCTAGACGGTTAGACGGTTCCATTTCCTATTAATTCTACTTCCGTGAAGCATCTGTGGTTAATCAATCATTACGGAATCGGATTGGTAGTGCCATAGCGTTAACTGGGCGCGAACAGGTCACGCTTGTCATGTCAATACGAACGCCTTTTTGACGTTGCTAGCTCGCGGTTTTGTACCGCTATAAGTATGCAGATGAATCACGAGACCGGCATTCCTTGCTGATAGTGTTTGCGTTTGGGAATTCCTCGGTTTATCAGTCTGCTCTTCTACAATCGCGTTCCACCCTTCTTAACCCCAATAAAGGAGTCACTTATGATAGTTTTACATTCTGGAAGGCTTGTTAGTTTACGGCTTTGACGGGTCCGGCCCGATTGACGTAAGTGTCATCGGCTTTACAGCATTGCAACGACTTGTTGAACGACAGTTCTTGATAGGAACTTTGGACATACTGTGGTATGGTGAGGGAAGATGGTTGTGCGTTCTTCCAGTTGCTTTTGAATATTTCGTAAAAACTGAAGTATGTATAGCGTATATCATCTATGAATGAGGAACATATTATGAAAGCTCGGATCTTGATTGAATTGATAGATCAATTGAGAATTTTTATTGGTGCGGTGTACTAGGTGTACTACTACTACTACTATAACATAATGCACGCTGGAAATCCATGAGAACCACGTTCTGGTCAGCGTGTTGTTCGCGTTTACAACTTGGAAATCCTTGCCCATATAATCCGTGCAATTGCCGGGTCATTACGTAGCGCAGGCCCTTTTTATGTTTATAACCGCTCTCATGCCTAGTCGAACCGTATTCAATACCGTTGTTGAGTAAATTTATCTCTCCTCCCGCCTATCACCATTTCCAAAATCACAGTAATCCTGACATTATCTACAAGTTATCCAAAGAATTCGAATTACGAGCGGTATTTGTCCTACTTCCAGTTCACAATACCGGCTTACATGTATACATATATGCATAATGAATATAGGACCAATAGGAATAAATCATTCACCTGGAGAACAGCTAGACTTTCTGGCCGTCTCTTTTCAGACGCCCTTGATTTTTGCTGGGTCATATTGAATTTCTGTTCCACACTATCTCTATGATATAGCCCCCGTCCCATGCATGTGATTGTGTTTTGTTTCGAGGTGGTCCTTCCATAGGGTTTACTCAAACATCGAATAATTGGATGCAAAGGTGCTAAAAAACCCGCAATGTGTTAGTACGTATTGACAGTGAGGCTGCGAGCTGTTCTTTGGGGTTATGCAAACAAACGACGACCATTGGTTGCGTCGACTTCATCCATAGCGAAAGGCGCTTTGTCCGGTCATCAAACAACATCGTCCAATCCACTATAGCTCGTGAACCTTTCAAGACTTTTTGTGAGTACGAATTATACGGCTCCGATTAGCGCCAAAGCGGTCTGAACGAGTTGCGGCGGCCTCTTTTCATCGGGCACCAACCGATCGGACGCCCTCTCATTCTCTTTGTTCCCTCGTCGCTAACCGCGCCAAAATCTCACCTGTATTTTCTGTTTTTGCTCCCATGAATGGCCAAGGGATCATTCCCGGCGACAGAATGTTCTTTTTTGTTTGTATAAGTGTGAAGTCCGTTATTTTTTCGCAATATGAGTTTATTCGTGACTTTTTTGAAGACATAGTAACGTGTACATATGCTATTGATTTTGCACTTTGAAAGCTCAAGTATCGGGCTAGTAGCATAACTGGTTCCTGGCATTCTAGTCTTCGCTTATCTCATCGATGTTTGGGTTCAGCGGCACGACATATACGTTGGTTTCTCTGGCCAAATGGTCTCGAGTTTTGGGATTTTATTCGATCTTCCCTTCGCATTTCTATTCGCAATAGAGATCTCGGGCAATTCCCAAGCCTACGTGTATAGATGGCCTTTTGAAATTCCCGAAAATGAATGCATTCGTTTCTTTTTTCATTCGGAGTGTTTGTGCCCACTCCTGAAAAATGAAAGGCTTAGGAGTTTTGCATTCTCCAAGAGAAATTTTGTATACTTTCGCCCTTCGACGCTTTTTCTTGACTTGCTCTTTTTACTTGTACTTCTGCAACGTTCTTGCTAGTTTTTTAATGAATGTATCAATCATTCATTGCGAACTTTTTTCATTACAGATGTTCTTTCGAAAGAAAGACCGGGATGAAGCACCAGTGATAGACGCCCACAAACAGAAACCGCCTGTACCACCTAAGCGAACTATTCTTCCAAGCTTTTTACATAAGTCAGAGAAGGCCATGCCAGATGGAAATGGCTCTACCGCTCCTGAATCTAATTCTATTTATGATGTACCGAAGGCAAAATTTTCTATGGCTGCTGCTGATGGGGAGGATGACGTGATTGCAAAAGGTTTGTAGGAAGAGTATCTTCATGTTTCTGCTGACTTTTTCATTTTATTTCTTCGTAGTTTTCTTAATTTCGCAACACTAATTGATTTGTTATTATTTGGTATCAGAAAAGGGAAAATTCCACAACGGTTTTTGAAGTCGCTTGTGCGGGATTTATTCGACCGGTGCTCGCTGTATTGTTTTTTTTTTNCGGCCTTTCTCAACTCAGTCCATTCGGCTGTGAAGCTGTGCAGTGTTTACAAAAATAGCCTCAGTCGTATTTGCTCTAGGCCGAAAAGAAGTGTGTAGACTGTTCTTAAGATTAAGATTAGGATCCAAGTGTCCTATTCATTCTCGCTTGCAACCTCTTTTTCTAGATTTGAGTGATGTCTTGAAAAAGTTTGAAGGCTTGAGGCTTGAGCCCAACTATAGTTTTTGTATTTTACCCTTGAAATACGCAAATGGCGAGAGCGTGCCGAAATTGGGATCGGAGCTGAGTCATCAAGGTGTACTCGAATGTTTCCACAAGGGCTGGCTTCGAGAGTTGTGTCTGTGTGACCTTTGTGTATCGTTCGTTGCCCGTTCGTGCGATACATTGCAACGCCGCGCCCTCCATTTTTGGCGTCGTGCATAATATAGCATGAAGAAGAAATCTGAGTATTAGAAAAGATATTAGTTCCCTGATGAACACTAAAAAGTCGTAGTGCAGGTGAGCCAGCGTCTAATCGTCTACTAGGAAAGCTGGCGATTTATGCCCATCGGTTCTTTTTGAAATTGGGTGTAGCCTTATCAGTACTCCAAAATTACATTTGGGTTCGTCACGTATAGTTGCTCTTTACTGTGTTACCATTTTGAATTCGAAATTGATAGCAATCAACGGCTGAGTTGTTTATGTGTTTCAGATGAGGTGTTGCCGTCGGTACGGGGATTTGATTCACCCAAGGACTTCAACATTCAGGTTAGTTTCTCCGATTTTATTCAGCTTACAGTACTTACTTACTATTAAATGTACAAGCATTTGATTTAAATGAGTAAAGTGCAACTCATCCTTGTTTTTTTTNTTTTTTTTGCCTCTTATCTATCTCCAGTTCTGTAAACGACATTCACGTCTTCGAATAACTTAAAAACGCTTCTTTTGATTGATGTTTTTCCCAAATTGAGAGGTTATTCATTAAGGGACTTGCTTTACCAGCACTTGCAGCCGTGCAAGTCAAAGTTCGGACGCTGGTGCTAAATAAGGGAATCACAGGTAGTTCACTTCATGCTATAAGGGTTACCATGATGACTAGACCTGATGTATTCAGTTGAACTGACGTTTCAGGAGATTTCGGTTTCTCCGTTCGTCGTGTGCAGTTTCCTTCTAATAGGCATGGTGGTTTGAGAACTGTAGTATTCGCAGAGCCTTCAAACATGCGAACAGGACCACCACGGCCTGATGACTTGAAGTTGGTTGCCTTAATGTCTTCTCCTTTTATTTTATTTTGCCTTCCTAACCTTATTTTTATTGTCTCCAAAATTTCTTTTGTAGTTTGAAAATTTTTATTGTTTTCCTGATGCGCTTTGGAAATTTGGGATAGGAGGGGAGGGTTCCAATCGCAAACTCGAAGCAATATTTTCATTGGCGTTCAAAAAGTCAATGGATTACTGTTCTAGTGGTTTTCTCTCGCAATTTCGATTCGCATTTCGCATTTTCCCAGTAACCAGTACATTTTCAGAAATGGGCTTCTTCCTGGAGATCAACTGATCAAGGTGGATGGAAAAAGTGTGAATGCTATGTCTCGTGATGAGCTGCAGAACGCAATTAGAAGTGCTGGAGATCAAATAGGTACCCTTTTTCCATCACTTCTTTTCATTTTCTGACGAGTTCTAGATTTACTAAGAAAGGCCATGAACTTCAGAACTCCCAAATTAGCACTTCTATTTTTTATGGAATTTTTTGTGTTACCCTTTTCAGTGCTGGAGGTAAAATCCGTTCCCGAACTAGCAGAATTTTGCGACCGAAAGCACCGCCAGACTGGTGGGAGAGTAGACGATGATCAATTGATGCTAGGCCACATCAATACAAATCTTTACGAGGTGAAAACGTTTGAAAAAACTCTCGCTGAAAGTCATGTCGGAGAGTAGGGCGTTCAAAGTTACCTCTTGTTGAGAAAATTCATGAAACCTTTGTAAAAAAAAAAGTCTGTTTCATAGGATATTCCTGAAGAGCAACGGTATTGGCTTATCCACAAGGGCGGTTACACAATCGTACGGCTTCTCGAACTTCTTCCTGATGGAAGAGCTCTAATTCGGGTTGCGGGCCGTGAAATGACTGTTGATTCGACTGATATCGATAGGATGAACCCAACCCATTTGGATCGGGCAGGCGATGTGGCTGCGCTTTGTTATCTCAACGAGACGAGTGCCGTTCACTTATTGCGGCAACGGTAACCTCTCCATTGAGCCTTTCTTTATATTAACGGGTATGCACGGTGGTTTCAGGTTTGGGTGCAATCTGCTATATACAAACGCTGGTCTCATTAGTCTTGTCTCTCTCAATTCCTTCGAAGAAGGTGCAGTCGGTCAAGATCGGCTCGTTTCCTTATTCAAAGGATGTCGACGTGGACAAATGCCTCCTCATATTTATGCTACTGCACAACAGGTGTATAGGTGAGTCTTATTCTGATCATATACCGTAGTAGGATAGGTTGTGGTTTTTCTCCTTCCAAACCCTCTATGGGACCTCTTTTTTATGGTCTCGAACATGTAACTTTCAGAAATCTGCAAATGACGGGTCATAATCAATGCATTGTGCTAACAGGCAGTAGCGGTAGCGGGAAGACAACCCAACTTCGCAACTTTGTACATTATCTTGCGGAAGTAGCTGGATGGACGCGCAGCTTGCCATGTGAGTTCTTCTACCAGCCTGCCTTACTTTCTTCTGTGGAAGCGGTGTGAAGCGCAAATTTTGTATACTGTATTTTTTATTTATTTTTATTTTATTTATTTATTTTTATTTATTTAGAATAAGCTCCCTGAAGGTGCACAGAGAAGTGCGTTAGACGATGGGAGCTAGTGAGAAAAGTTTGCACGGAAGATTTTAAGTAGAAAACGTTTGGCTTTATCGGGGTGCTCGCACCATTTACCTTTTCATACTGCCACGTTTCTTCATTGCGAAGTTGGCTTTGATCAGAATATGAAAGAAATTTTGTTTCTTACAGTTTCTCTTTCTTCATTATTCAGTATTCAAAAGCTTTCCGGAAAAGATCAGCAGCATAGCTTTTTTATATGATAAAGCCTGTGACTTTTTCTTTATTCAATTGTCGTTCGCGTTTAATTTCACATTTTGGAGTAAAGAAAAGCTTTTGATCGTCCGATTTCCCCTTTTTGTGTTATCTAACCATTCAATTCTCAAGAACGAACATATAAATCTCGCCAACATTGTGAGACTTTCGCATCACGCACTGTGACAAAGAAAAAAACAGTAGTAAGCGGTCAAAACTGGTCATATGGAACGTACTTTCGTCAATGTCTATGGATTTAGCTGCATATTCTACTCATACTGGATGTCGATTTTCTTGTGTTCAGATGAGAAGCTGGCATTAGCGTTAGGTGTCGTTGAAGCTTTCGGTCATGCAGCGTCACCTCTTCACCGCGATTCGACCCGCTTTCTTCATTTGTTTTCACTCGGCTTTGACAAAGCTGCAGCGCTGAGGTGTGTCTTTTAGAGTAATCCTTTCTTACTTACTCTTATTTATTTATTTTTTTTTTTTGGTTTTCAGATCAGCTCGACTACAAATATCGCTGTTAGAATCAGATCGCGTGGTGAGAAGGAGAAGCGGTGAGGCATCTTTTCATGTGTTCTATTACTTGTGGGAAGGAGCAGAGGGAGCGCTCCGGGAACGACTTCAACTGGACTCGATTGAGCAGCCTGCGATCGTGCCATATTGCAAGGAGGAAGATCGGCAAAGCGCCAAGGAGGTTGAACTGGCTTTTCTCATTTCCAGCATTATCCCAAAGGTCCTTGATTTTTAAGGCATGGAATCGTCTTATACATGCGCTGACGGAATTAGGTGTCTCTGAAAGTCAAATTTCGGCAATTTCATCTGTTCTTGCGGCGATTCTCCACATTCAAGCTGCTGGTTGTACACCAGGCAGTGCCCAGCGTGCTCACTTCCTTCGAGTGGCCCACGCTCAGCAAGCTGCCGCTCTTCTAGGAATATCAACGGAGGATCTTGGGAATGCTTTATTCCGAGGGAAGACCTCAAACAGTACTGTTACTGCAAAGGTCACCGCTGCAAGGTCAGTTCTTTTCGAGTAGTCCCACTGGGTCAAGCGTACCACGTCGAGTGATGTCGGCTAATCTATTATTTGTTGTGGCTGGATGTTAATACTCATATGCTTGGTCCGGTGCGGTTAATACTTCCTGCTGTTGGATGCTCACTAACAGATTGATTTCAGCCGCATGGCTCTCACTTCTCGTGGGCCAGATGCTCCTGAAGCTTTGGTTTCGTTCTGCTCTGGTCTTTATCAAGAACTTTTCTATACGATTGTTGAGCTCGTTAATAAGGCCCTCCTGTCGAATGCAGCTTGCACGTGGATTTCAGTAAGTAACGTTTCTTGAAAGCGTTATCTGTTAATCTTCTCAGTTATTTTGTGCCTGTCTATTTTGACATCATGTATTACCCTTAGTTTTGTTCTAAGGGGTCCAGTAAGCATATTTTACCATAAGTTTAGTGAAATGAATACTTTTAGATTCTTGATTACACTGGTTCTTCATTTCACTCAACGTGGGTGGAAGCGAATGGACAACGAGTTCTTGGTCTCAATGATCTTGTCTATAATTATATAAACGAACGCGTTGTTGAACTCTTCTATAATGTCTGCTTTGTGGAGGCACAGGAAGTGGGTTCTGCTTTTTTCATTATCATTTCGTCTTCTGGAATACACCAAATACTTGGAATAGATTTGGCTTTGACTTTTGATCGAACACCTGTGGTCGTTTCTGGCTTTAATTTACACAGCAAAAANTTCTGCTCACTTGCTAATCCACCCGCTGCAGGTTTACTCTCGGGAACAGATCGATGTGGAAATGGAAATGCCTTTGGTTTCACCATGTCCTCTAACTAGGCTATTAGATCAACGGCAGCAATTGGTTTGTATTCATCTGTATATGTGTAGTCTCGTTTTTAAAATTCTCTTTGCTTTCATGAACTGATCGAATCCGCTCTTTATCGGTATGCCTTTTTACAGTTGTCGTGTACTGACATAGACCGACGTTCTGAAGAAAAGCGAGGACTATTCGCTATATTGGAAGAAGAATCAATGTTCCCTGGTGCTACTGATGAGAGTCTCTTGGAACGAATTTTCGTGCATCTTGGAGACGACTCCAGGTATGCAGTATCTCGGTTAAAACAGCTCCTAAGAGAGCGATACTTACGAACTATTGAAGAAATCTTGAATAAGTTCACATCCTGTTGTTGCATCGATTACTTTTCGTCATTTCATTTTGTTTTATAGTTTTTCTACTTCTCATTCCAGTTCTTTCCTCAGCTGAATTTTACTCGAATCCGGGGTTTGATTATGGTTCTATTGGGATTTTTGCAGACTCATACGTCGTGCCACTCGTCCTATGCAGTTTGTCCTAGAGCATGCCATGTCCTGCTATCCAACGACATATGATATCAGCGGATGGGTAAAACAAGCCCAACCATGCGAGAGTGGTGCTGCTGCTCGACCGTTACTTATTCAAAGCAAAAGGTTGGAGAGATACTGCTTCTTTTCTCCTGTGCAAGAATTGTAAGCCAACTAGTGTTTAGCCCGCTCCTGGTCAGCCTTTTCGGTACTTCATTGCCTAGCGATGCGAGCAAGTTACGCCGTGCCACCCAGGCTGCCCAATTTGAGTTGAATGCTCGTAGATCCATCAGCGGTTTCTTCACGAATATCAGTGGGCAAATAGTAAGTTGGATTATATGAATATGTTTTCGATAATTACGGCTACTAGCAGGGCTGTAGGCCTTTGAAAAACCCTGGCGGTGACAACGTCGCCTTTACAAGCTATGGAACTTATGTGTAATGAAGAAGATTTACTCGTCAGTTTGCTGAGGAATGATAAATACGCCAACTGATCAGGTCCCTGCTAGAAGGAAAACAGCAAGTGTTCTGGTAAAATAGTTTATTTGTAAAAACTAATGTGCCAGTGTTATCGTGGGGATTACGCCAAGCTCTTGTTCCCCATTTATTCTAGTCATGCCTCTTCTAGTTCCTTGAGATTTGAACTCTTGTCGACTCAACAAAGATAGACTATGATTTTCGATAACTAGCGCTAGCAGAGTTTCTATCATGTCCCTTCCAATCACTGAAAATTAGATTTCACTGCGTCAAGAAGGAGTTGAACTGGGAATGCTCGGAAAATTACATGACAAGTCAACGTTGTTCGATATCCTTACAGCGACCTATCATTCATCTCCTTCATACATGACTTTTAAATCGTCCTAGCAGCAGCATCTACACCTTCCTGCTTCCGACTTTGAAGCTTCAGGAGATATGCGCAGGGCTGCTGGAGTTTAACGGCTCAATGCTTGACACACGTTTTGACGGGCTTCAGCAGCGAAGTGGTCGGATTTGAACCCACTAACTGGTAAGAAGTACATGTCGANAGCAAGTGTTCTGGTAAAATAGTTTATTTGTAAAAACTGTACAAATAAACTATTTTACCAGAACACTTGTTATCGTGGGGATTACGCCAAGCTCTTGTTCCCCATNCCACTAACTGGTAAGAAGTACATGTCGAACATGGGGGGGGGGGGGAGACAATAGGCTATTACAGGATAAAATAAGCTCGGAGAGAAACCTACCTATGCTATGCGCATGGCAAGTGGATAGTAGTTGGCCTGTATGTAGCAATTCCAGAATTTCATAGAACTGCTACATATGTAGCACCGCACTACCTTGAATTTGAATGAATGGATATCGAGAGTGTGGCATGCGTCAGAACGGTAAGAAACTTCGCCTAGTTTGCTCAGCCTGCCCTTTACTCTCAGAGATAGCTCAAAAAGGAAAATTAATGAGGTGAGGAGAATCCCAGTTTACCTTTCATTCTTGAGAATCCATCAATAGGTAGATGCCGCTGACGATAAGAACGAAACCCTGGAGTAGTTTTCTTTTAGGCGACGCTGCATTTTTACCTCTCATGTCACGGCCTCTGTGCTTTTCGTCACTGTTGAGTCATTGTAATCTTACACCTTTATCGCTTTGATTGTCACCTTTTGTTTCCTGTCGTAAATGTTATCGTTCTTGAGGGTGTCACTCCGTTTCATGTTGTCGAGAGAAATTTCGACGAAGGAACTATGACATGCTCGGTAAGGACTAAGCTTATACTGGAAACTGAGTTTTCCTTATAGGACTGAACGTATATTCTGTAGGCACGGCAGGATCTGGGTAGTAATGTCCCACAATGAATTGGTGATTGGGTATTGAATAGTTTGGACTAGGTTAAGCTAATCCGATGGTACTATAATGGTGAATAGGAACAGTGATGTTCAGGTTCAAGTGATATTGAATTAGTTACTGAATGGTTATCGGTGAAGGACGAAAATACAAATGATGAAAACACTTGCTATAGTAGATTTCTTTTCATAATTGACCTTTTCTCCGCCTTTGGGATCGTAGATGTAGTTGAGTTGTATATAACCTTCTGTCTAGAGCTTCTTCTTAGGGCTCTCTTTCTATTTTCCGTTACGTAGGAAGAGATCGCGGAGAAGATGTGGCTGTTGAATATTTTTTCTTTTAAACGGTTAACTAAGAAATCTTCATGGGAGATGACATCCTTCCATGACTATCACTGGCTAAAAGCTGCTCATCTCCGCCTACGTCATCCTACATTGAAACTTCGTATGTTTTTTAATGAATGACCCAGCGGAGTGCTCTTTAGGGGAGCTGACAAAGGCAGCAGAAGCTAAAAAAGCGCCCGCTAAGCTGTACGCCCAAGTTTTGCGGATTTTAACATCATGGGATGCACTTGTATTCACAACCAGGTGCCAAAATTCACGAGTAATATCTTTGCATCATACTCTTCTAGGACTGGTTTTGGCGTTTTGGCGAGGAGGGGATCTATAACTCAACTCTGCATATTTACAATGGATACTTAATTGTCAGCTTTAATGACCTCATAAACTAACCGAAAAGTAATTTCAGAAAAAACCTTTCGTTCCACTTCTACGGTTCCACTTCATTTTCGATGTCGGTTCGAGTCTGTCTAGCTAGAAAGATGTCGGCGGAATNGTTTTGGCGAGGAGGGGATCTATAACTCAACTCTGCATATTTACAATGGATACTTAATTGTCAGCTTTAATGACCTCATAAACTAACCAAAAAGCAATTCCGAAAAAAAAATCTTTCGTTCCACTTCTACGGTTCCACTTCATTTTCGATGTCGGTTCGAGTCTGTCTAGCTAGAAAGATGTCGGCGGAATTCCCTTGTGAAGTTCGCTTCATTCTTGTTTTTACTTTCTCTACTTGATGGAGAAGAAGAACGAATGGGGATTCTCTACATGATAATATTTGGGGTTTTCGAGAGTTGCAGACAGACGGTCGATGAATACTTGAGAAAAAATGTCGTTTGCTTGTTCAGAGGTTTTCCTGGTGCTTAGAAAGACGAGACTATTTGCTGCCGAGAAACTAATCGTATTAAGTCTACCATTTACTCACTTGACGGTAGCGTTCCGACGAAGTCGCACTGTTGAAACGCTCTAATCAGAGGCTTGAATCAGTCTTCATCGTTGCTCAAGTAGTGTCAACTCATTCTTGAAACTGACGCGAGTTACCAAATTTCATTTTGGACAGTCTCGAGGTCCCTTCACTTCTTGGCCATCTTGCAATGATGCTGTGGTGTATAGAATCCAGTTGAGCCTTTGGGACGATATCAAACCAGCGATTGACTAACGTTTTTTTTTCGAAGTTTCGGAGCTGTCATTTTGAGTAAAGCTATAAATCTCAACATGAAGAAATGCATAGCTTATATTACCTGGCATCCCTTCTCCAACCTCCCCGTGAAGTCGATGCTGCCAGCAGTACAGATCCGTTGGATATCAGTGGACTAACTTTCGTGGGGTGAGGAAGGGATGCCAAGTATAAGGAGCTTACAATGCTACATTCTGAGATTTATATCTTTAATTGAACATCTGGAATGACAAGGTACAGGCCCATCAGAGAAAGCTGCCTATCATAGCTCCTGCAACCTTGACTGGACATTTTTGTGTAGATAGAGGAACTTGTTGACGCCAGATCTTGCCGTCCCATAGGTTCTTAGAAGCTTCCTAAATAGCTTGAACCCCGGTATAGGTGTAACGGCGTCATGAATATAGGAAAGGCGTGTTTATCATTGGGACAACCCAACCGTGTTTCCCCTACTGATGTCGGAATTCACTTATTTCCTATTTTCTCGTGCCTCGCTTTGCTTAGGTTTTTCTGTTATTTGATTAATTTCTGTCGGTGTTTGTCTTTCTTCTTCCTTCCTTCTCCCTTTTTATGTCTCCTTTACCATTCACGAAGTCTTCCACTAACACTTCAAATTTGTGCGTTGTACTCATTACCCTGCGTCCTGTCCACACTTTTCGTAAAGGGTGTGAAGCATTAGCTCGTTTTTCTATGCTTTTGAAGAGCTGCGGTCTCACGTGGGGAGGTGCATCATTTGCGATGACTGAGCTAGTGGGTGAGATCATCAGCTCATAGGCATTAAGCACGACGAAGCTCATTTGTTGAACTTTCACTTTGCATGAGCAGCGTTAGCGGATTTGTGGGAGCCGGTTAGCGTCAGCCGCTCTGTCGTGCCTAATTCGGAACCTCCCTTTATGCATGCTTGATGTTTTCGGACGAATCTAACGGCTTTTCATACTTTCTTTCACGTTCCTTCTCCAAAGCCATTGAAAGTTGTCAATCAACGCTATATGATTCGTACAGCATCTTTAACTTTTTGTTATTCTGAAGTAACATTTTCGCGAATGGCAGTTGTCGTATATTCGCTATCACTACTCGTACCGGTTCAGAAGTAGTTACGATTGGGCTTGTTCCTCAGATACTCTCTTCAATACTCCCTTGAACAACTGCGATTCTCTCTTTTTGAACATATTCTCCTGCGATCGAAGATGAAGCCTACTGGCGTGGTTGTTGAAGAGGTTTGATGATTATTTCGTTTTTAAAACATTTATTGGGTTGTAACATAAGTTCGTAGAGTTTTTTCACAGAGATTTATTTTACCAAAAAACAATAATTATAATAATAAATCAATCAGTGATGTATCTTCCTGTTACTGTTTGCGACCTCCTCCAATCTCTTGACCAATTTGTTGATGCCGTTTCGCCAAAAATCGGCCGGTCTGGTGTCGAAGAAGCTGTTGAGCCAGTTTCCAAGAACCTCTTCGCCATCGAAGGTAACACTCCGCATTTGGTTTGACAAAGAGCGGAAAGGTGGTAGTCGGTAGGTGCAAGACCCGGAGAGTACGGTGGATGCTGAAGAACCTCTTATTCAAGCTTTTGGAGTGCTGTTTTGACGACTTGGGCATTATGGGGCCTGGCGTTGTCGTGGAGCAAGATGACTTCACCTTGTCTATCGGGTCTTCTCAGCCGAATAGCCTCACTAACACGGTTTAGCTGGGCAATGTAGACCTCCTTGTTGACAGTAGCGTTTCGTTCGAGCATTTCCCAGTGCACCGTGCCTTTCCAGTCTCACCAAACGCAAATCATGACCTATTTTGAGTGATGGTCTTGCTTGACTCTCGGCTTCGGTGCCTCTCCTGGGGCCACCCAGAGACACACCTAGGACACCTTCCTCGTACACATTGCATATGTCCGAGCGGCTTCGGCTGCTTATTGACCTCGATGAAAAGCAGATGTCGAAAATGCTGATTTTCTCCTCCTGGATATTCCAATTCTGAGCCAGAAAAAAGACGTATAACTAGATTATCCAAAAAAAAAACGAATAAAACTATTTTATAGAGGAGAAAGAGCTCTTTCGAATGAATATATACACTTCGCCAAAAAACAAAGCGAATCGTTGTAAAATGACCCTAACACAAAACTCTACGAACTTATGTTACAACCCAATATATGCGTTTTTGTAAGATGACTTTGACTCCGCCTAATTTTTTTGTTTTCAAGGAAGTTAATTAATGTTTGACGTTCCAGTACTTAATTGCTCTATGTCTGTTCAAGTCGTCTTCACCCGCACTGGCCTCTATTTCTTAGTCGATGCTTCAGTTCCCTATTTGTAGTGAAGTCAAGTTTAGGATTAGGAGATTACTCAAAAGCTGTGTACTGTACCTACCTTGTGGGGCCCACCTGTAAGTGCCAATGGTGCTGTACGATGTAGAAGGACGTAAATGCGCTAGCCTGAAATTCTTCAAGCGAGATCCTTATCATTTAACTGCCGGCCTTCAATGCTTCCAGTCTTCACCAACAGAACACTTTCACGGGTTTTTCGGCTTCAGGGATGATTTGCGGTGCTTCAGGGTGCTTTTCAAACTTAATAGTCGTACCAGCTATAGAAGTGAAAGGTTTGGATTAGGGAAAGTTGAGGCAGTGCTGAGCAAAGATAGGCCTCCCATTGACGGGCGCAATAGGGCCTGGTCACAATACGAAGTGGGCTCACCTTATTAACGAACCCTTTACTTGTATATGAAACCCATGAATCGTAGCGAAATATTGAGCAAGAAATTCGTAATTATTCAAAAATAGTGAATCCTCAAATTTAGTGATGTCTCCAGGATAACGAACCCATTCCCGTACACATCATCGAAATGTTCTCTTTCTTAGTTTACAAGGGTAAGAAACGGTATCAGTATAATCTTTGATGACTGGCGAAACTGGCTTCTACACAACAAGCAGGAAGCTACACGCAGAACTGCACGAAGGAATTAGCAGCTCTCTCGTAATGCTTAGGCACACAGTGAGCATCACAAGGCAGAATGCTTTTTCTTTGCCACTGTCAGCACAACCGTTTGCTCACGTTAGTGCATAAATTGTAGAGGTATATGTGCTACGGTACTGCTGAGTCTTATGCGATTTTAGGCAATTTGTGAAAGCAGTTCCATATCTTTATTAAAGCTACTTCATTTACCATGTCATTTCTTTCCATTAATTCCTTAATCATACCGAAATGTTGCCAAGTAATCGGCCATCCAATTCAAATACCCTACAGCAAGGAGTATTGGTGACTTCAGACCAGACGTGGCTGATATCATCAGCGTGATTTGATGATCTGATTCTAGCAGATTACTGGCCAGGCAAAGCGAACTTACCATTATTCAAGTTTAGCTGATCGATGGGTCCAGTAAGAGAAGAGAAAAGTGTTAACTTGTAATGCTACACCGCAGTAGCAGGGGGATCTCAAAGTTCGGAAGTTCTATTGAAGCCATTAATTCTGTCTTTTTTCTTTCCGATCTCTTGTTTGTATAGGTCAGATAATACTTAGTTTATCCTTTGACTCTTATATTTCCACAACTTATGAAAGCGGCTTTCCTTCCTCCTGAATCGCCAGGACTCGAACAAATATGAGATTTATTACAAAAGGAAACTGAGAAGAATAGTGTCGCGGTTAGTTCCGACGCTATGGAAGTACTGTAAAGCTTCAAATGACAGTGAATCCGAAAAGGATGTATTAAATGTAGTAGATAGTGTTTTCATAAATCTGAATTTTCCCTCTCAATCAGGAAATATCCATGATCACCTTTTCGCTGTAATCCAGTCCGGCGGCGGTAGCGGCGATCGTTCGTCACCGATTCTTTGAAAACATTTGCGCATCCACATGCTAATCATCGTATCGCCGTTAATCTGATTCTTTACTTTTTNTTTTTGCTGTAGTGTTTTGCGTTCTCATACGGCGTTTGCCTTTCTGCTCAGCCATCAGTACGGACGGTCTAACAATGTTGTTTCAGTTGCTTTAAGAATCTGAAAGAGAAAGGGCAATTTTAGCAATGTGCGATTGTATGTGGGGTGCATGATTTTGTTCCAAGCGCTTTTTTACGATCAATTCGAATCTAATATCTAAGGGGTGCGATCGAATTTTGAACGACATATGACAGTCATATCTTTATTCTCCGCTCGTAACTGATGTTTTCTCTTTGAGCTTTATCATAGAATTTGTTGCAGGAAACCATTATTGGAGTTTCGGTGGAGTTTGTTCTAAAAATTTTTTGGTCGGTGGCATTGAGAGGGGTAGGGGTAGGCTTATTATAGAACCGAGCTGCTCTACGACGTTTTCTTGTTCATCATGCAGTCTTTTTCAATCAGTTTCATTGAGCTCGGATGTGGAGACGTATGTGCGGCTATTTATTTCCGATTGCTTGCTCTGGATGCCCTGTACTGGTGTCACAATCTTCACCCATTAAATTAGAATCTACTGCTGAATTGGTGCTCCGCCAATGCACTACACGGGATTTACGGCTTGACTTTACTGCGGTGACCGAGAGCCGCTCGAAGACCTTGCGCTGAAGCAGCGCCGAGTAGAGGCGCTCACGTTGTCCAAGAGAAATTCTGCCATGAAGCTCCTCCGCATTGCACAGTTCACAGCCTCCTCCAACAAGGCAGAAAACGGGGACTCGATTTGTTCTTTCCTAATCCTAGCATTCGCACTGCATAGGTCACCGGTTCTACCTTTTCGTTTCTCTCAGTTCACAGCTTATAAAAGTGAACTATCTGTCGAAGAACTGTAGCATCTAAAGAAAAATATGCAAAGTTATCCGCTGCTATGTGGCATTTACCAGTTCAGTAACAAGACAACTACGCTTAGCGAAAAGGAGAACTTTTTATATTTCTTCGAAATCTTTCACTTAAGTCTATACAATGATGGTGTTATCGATCTTTTTTGAGTCATCAAGATTTACATTTTTATTTTTGTGTCCCATTATGGCCAGCTCTTCCTTATAGAAATCCTGAACAGTCGTTAAAGACCCAAGGATTGCCTTCCAAACTCAGTGACAAATTTTTTTCATACACAGTGGAGCAGCCACCAATCACCGGTATTTTGCCTGATGTTAATTAAGCGATGTTAATTCAATTAATTAGCGATGAGCAGAACTTAAATTCAATCACTTGAGTGATTTCAAAAACGTTAATGGCCACTGCCGGGAGCGGAAAGGTTCTCTATCCTTCTAATTGTAAAGAAAAGCCTAAATCTTAAAANAAAAAGTATGATAAGCCGATCTTGATAGTTCTGGCTATGCATCTGATCAGCAGGGTCAATAGGAGAATTCATTTCAGGATTACGTTTTTTCCTCGCTTCGTCGTGGTCACCGTTCCCACTTTGTGCATTGTATACAACCATCTCCAAACATGCGCTCAGCCTCCGGACCTTACGAGGGAATTGATGTACCATTTGTGCGAGGTCAACTGCGATCCATACTCCTGATTGACTCGATCAGGGCCAACAACAGAGGTTAGTGAACTGCGGTAATGTTAGTTGGGTTTGAATGTTTGGAATAAGTTCAGGGTATCCCGAACGGGTCTCATTTCGCGATTTTCGCCGTCGCTTTGGATGTTTGGTCGAGGACGAACTGAACTCATCTATCGATAATGCGCTGGACGATCGAGCTGCAGTGTCGAAGATTCTCGAGGGAATGGACATACATCAACATAGATATCGCTTGGGAATCAGCCAGGTGAAATGCTTAGCATTCAAATGAGCAAATCGAGTTATACCTTCGCAGAATATGTGTAAATGGGATCCAATCCTTGGAAAGGGATCAGTGAACACAAGCAGTGAAGTTCGTCTGCTCTCCTAAATTTTAAACTCCTAACGTTTCAAGGGCGAAGGCGGAGTAGCGGCAGATGGTGCACCATCGCACACGGATAGTTACGGGTTCGAACCCCGGATTGATACTCGCCTAGGCCAACCAAACCTTCCATCCCTCCAGAGTCGGTTAGTTGGTGCCAAAGTCACAGGAAGTATAAAAGCAGTNATCGCTCGGCTCACACCCAACAATTTTTTTTGTGACTAGGTTCAAATACATCCCAAACTCACGGGATCCAATCCTTGGAAAGGGATCAGTGAACACAAGCAGTGAAGTTCGTCTGCTCTCCTGAATTTTAAACTTCTAACGTTTCAAGGGCGAAGGCGGAGTAGCGGCAGATGGCGCACCATCGCACATGGATAGTTACTGTTCGAACCCCGGATTGATACCCGCCTAGGCCAACCAAACCTTCCATCCCTCCAGAGTCGGTTAGTTGGTGCCAAAGTCACAGGAAGTATAAAAGCAGTGACTTATACACCGGCTGGTCACCGCAATTCATGGTGTGGCCGCAGACGAGTTCAAAATGCTACTGCAATATTGGATCGATATCGGAGTGGTGGTCCCTTAGTTGATACTGTTTAGCTTCATAAGACTCTTACCAACTTTTCACAGCTAGAGAGTGCTTAACTAAGGTGTCATTGTAGTCAGGGTCATGTCCTATCGTCTCTTACCAAAGATGGTAGGACATGACTCTGACATGACTACCTTCAAGATGAATACTTCAGCCGTCAAAGAGCAGGGATTCATGAGTTCGGTGACCGACAGACGGACGAATACGAACATATAGTGAACTAGGCATTCTAATCGGAAGATGCCATGCCTTCAACATCTGATGCCTGTGCCCTATGATTCGAAAGCTACTTCTTATTCAGGTTCTCCTCTCTGCCGATGTGCTCTGCGAACTAGAAGATCGTCGAGAACTTTCTCTGTCGGGTTTGGTAACTGCATTCCAGCGAGAATGTCGTAGACACCTCGCGGCAAAGTGGTTGCAGCGAAGGCGCGTTCTGGAGACCGCTATCAAATGCATCCAGGTACTTCACAGAGACAACTGCTATTTTTTTCGTTTACAGCTTTTTTGGTTTGAAATCTCGCGGCTTGCATGAGAAAAGCTAGCCATAGTCTCAGCAGTTACAGGGCTGAGCGCGGAGGCTTTTTAATACCACCACATTCAATCTCCGTCCATCTGTTCTTCGCGTAACAGTGTGAGGGTAATGGGACTAGAAGCGGAAATTTTAGCCATACTCCGATCTATAACTTGAGAAAAACTTTCAGAAGCTATCCATAGTCTGAGATGATATAAACTTGAATAACAGCATTGCATCCCATTCTATTTAGTGTCGAAAAACTTGAAGAAAAAAGTCGAAAGTTGCGAAAATTGGTCTTAGAACCTTGCTTCAAGGGTCTAAGATCAGTTTTCGCAACTTTCAGGCATTGAAAAATAACTAGCTTCTTATGATAGCTGAGTGCCTTTTTGATAGCAGTTCCTTTAGCGTACTGCTGCTGTATGAGTTTTTGGAATCGTGAAAATTATCCGTAAATTTGTTATTCTGTTTAGAAAAACGGCAAAGCTTACATCAAAGTGCGAGAATGGCCGTGGTGGCGACTGTATACAAAAGTGATTCCGCTACTCGCTGCTACGAGGTATGTACGGGGAAACTACCGAGTAATTTTGTTTTCCTGATAAGCTACTATCATTAAAATTGTTGGTGGAAAACCAAAAACTCGAAGAACTTACAAAGGTGATCTTCGCCGGCACAGCATTTTCTCACGATCCTAAAAGTGATTGCTAAGTTTGAATAAGTGACTGTATGCCATGAGGTGGCCTTTCGATTTCATACTTTTTGCTTGAGAGAAGCGTTCGATTTTCAGGAATGCCTGGACATATTCCTGAAACAGAGACGTAGGTAGTGTAAGAGGCGCTCTATATAGGCACGGTGAAAATCGAGTCGAAGCCCTGTCCATGTTCGCCCAGGCCAAGCATGCTGCTCATCCCTTGGGGTCTGATACTAATTGCCAAGTTCGTGCTGGGGACGTGCAGGGGATCAAAAGCTTAGATTTAGCCACCTCAAGTCATTGTACAAACTATATAAACGTTAAAAACGCCGAATTCGAAGGTTTTAAACTTAATTTAAAAAGGTTAAAATGGAGGTCCACTGCGGAGGCGTTCCCACAATGGGAGTGACGAACGCTGAAAAATCCTTTATGTCAGAAAGTCAAGCGTATCATTCCAGAAGTGACCCATCTCATCATGAATGCGAAGTTCGAATTCGTGCGCTCGAGCAACAGCTTCATCAACTTCGTGTTGAAAAGACGCAACAGCAGGGAAGGGTAGAAGAACTGGAGCAGCGACTAGCCAGTGAAGTTCAAACGGCGCATGATCTCAGTCAAGCTCTGGATCGAGAAAGCCAGACGAGAGTACAGTTGGAGAGAAGACTGCAACAATGGAGGGATGGGGGTAAGTTGCGTTCGTATGGCCCTTCTACTAGTGACTTGTCGTTGAGGCTAATATTTCGATATCAGGGGGGCATTATTCTGTAGTGAAGTGTTGAGGTTGTTTTATGGGGTTTGGCTTCCGTGTTTGCAGGCAGCTCTCAAAGATTTGTTTGCCTTGATATTTATTCTAATGGTTGCTGAACTGATTGGGAGAATAGTCCAGAAAAAAATGGCCAGGAGAAAGTAAAAATTAATTAAAATCAAAAGGCTCAAAGGCAAAGTTCATCGATGCCGAACTAACTTTTTAAAAAAGTGTATTTTCTAGATAAAAATTTGTGTAAAGTGCTCATAAGATTGGCTTTCTGAGGTCCATCAAACAGCTTGTTTCAGTTATCGATGATGAGCGTATTAGTCGTGTGTCATCATCAGCGAAGTTGGAGTCCGACGAAAAGGTGCGTTAGTTAGAGTTACATGTTTTTGGAGACCGTGCTTCCTAGTAGCACAAGAGTTCATAGAAGTTGTTTGAGGCCATCGAAATGGCAACGTAGTCGTCCACGATGCTGTATATTGTTGTGAATTGTTGCTTGTGTTGAAAAAGCAGCATAGGTTCGAGTTCCCTTCCATTTTCGCGAGAAACATTTCCGACAACCTAATATAGTCCGCTATTAACACCCCTCAGTGTATTTATCAGGTTGAATGATGAAATATCTTCAAATATGCATCTGAAGCCTTGAGATTTGGTAGAGAAATCCTTTAGGGGAGAATTGAAGAAACAGTACACAATGAATTTCGTGATGCAAGGTTAGAAGTGATAACAAATCGTAAAAGATTTTGGGATATGGTAATGTGGTGGTGGGAAAGTTGGCATAATGACATTGAATGCCCTACGAGAGGCCTGTGTCACCTGTCTGCCACTCAAAGGCTTTCATGCTCTTAGTCGGAGGACCTTTCTTGGTATTCGTTCTCACGTGGCAGGGACGCCCAATATTAGTTGCTAGGATTTCAGGTATCTCTTAATATTCGTTCAAAGTTTTTAAAGTACTAAAGGAAGAAAGTGCGTGTTATCATACTAAACTTTCCTTCTCTGCTTCGATTCCTGGAGATTTCTGGGGGTTCTATGGAAGTAGAATAGCTTCCCCATGACAAATCAAATGATGAAAGCACATTTTGAATATACGTCTTCTTGTTTTTCAAGGCTAAATAAGCAGTTCACTTTTTATCAGAGTTATCTGTAGAGGTTTTTCCTCTAGAAATCAAGCGTTTTGGCCCTACTGGGCCCTGGTGTGTGCTATACTAAAAAATTAGGGAAGCCTTGAAGTGAGTTGAATCTGGCTGTGCAGTTCGTCCCATTTGGAACGTCACATAGAGGTAGCATTTGTCTCCAAAAACGACTATCGAATAATAGTTCCCATTTCTGACTTCGCTGTAAACTTTCATAATAGGCTGCCGGGCTCAAGACGGAACTGGTTCGCGTGCAACAAACTGAAGAGCAGTTGCGAGCAAAGACTCAGCGAGCTGTGGCCCAGCTCCAGGTATTATACTTTAGAACCTTATCTTCTAAGAAGAGATGAGGGTGGATAGTTTAGGATGTTGAAGCTGAATTGAACAAAGTTCGTTCTCGAAATGAAACACTGGAGAAGAAACAGCAGAGGTCAGGTTCAAAGAGAAATTAGCGGTCTATAGAGATTCTGAATTCACTTCATAGGTTTGATGCTGACATCCGAGCAGTCGAAGATCAGTTGAAGGAAGTCAAGGAAAGTAAGGAGAAAGTCGAGAAGGAGAGAGACGAGTGTCAACTGGCGATATCAAGAAAGACCGGTGAACTTCAGGTGAGCAAGCTGATCAGTATTGTAGTTTTGATGCTTTATGTTTTTACACAACAAGGATTCGCTTCTTGCTTGACCAGGACCCACCTAGTTTTTGGGTAAGCATCTAAACCTCATCTTACATTGACGAAGCCCGGTTTGAGACTCATCATCACAGTTTTTTGGATGATAGGTGAGGCTTTGTGGTGTTCTTTGGTGTCTCCATTCCCTTCGAGGCTCTCAATTCATGTTCTATTTTTCGATACGTTTTCGGTCCTCAACTACTACTCGCAAAACACTAAGTAGCCTTTGCTTTGTTCTTGTTTCCAGTGTGCAACTTCTAGAGTTTTCGATGTAATTTGTAAGTGTCGTCTTTTTGTTATTGGAAATGGGGATTTTGTATGAATAGGAAGAGTGTCTNNNGGGGGGGGGGGGGCATTTTAACAGGTATCTTGGGAGACCCTCTTGGAAGGTATCGTGGGAGAAATTTGAAAATTCATGAAGACAAAGAAGGCCATTTGGATTTATTCCCTTTCAAGTAGCATATACTTGTTTAGGAACTGAAAACGGAAAATTCTGAATTGCGAACGACAGTGGCTCGACTGAAACGTGAAGCGGAAGAACGGACCGATGCAGCGAGCGAGGGAGAGCGGATAGCAACTCTTCAGAAAGCAAAAAGGGAGCTGGAGAACAAATTACGTGAACAGGTACGAAGACGAGCGTTTTTTTATTTAGGCTCACCGTATGTATGCCTGACTTCTTTTCCTTGTTGTGGCTTCTTCAAAGTACAAATTACTCATGGCAGGGTTCGTGCTTGAAGTAGTTTCCGCGACTGCTTAACATTTATTCTTAAGGAAGAAGAATTGGACGATCTGGCCGGGACCAACCAACAGCTACAACAACAGATTACCCGCTTAGAAATGAGCGCTGAACGACTCAAGGCAGATTTGTCTCGTGAATCCACTACGAAGGAAACGGAGATCGACGAAATTCGTGGCCAGTATCAGAGAAGAGTAAGTTGCTTCGTGGATTACGCTCTACAGGTGAAGGAAAATGTATCTTTCCTTGCAGCTGAGAACGTTAGAAGACCAACTGGCCGATTTGCAAGATACAAATTCATCGTTGGTTAAAGAGAACCGTGTGCTGGAGGCAAGAGCTCGACAGTATGACTTGAATACGCAAAGGTTCGTTGAACTGTTACATATTGCTTTTATGGAAAACCTTTATTCGTCTGCTATTCAGCTTTGAATTCTCCGGAGAACATTATCGCCGTGAGCTAAGGAAGGCGCTGGCTCTTTTGGCTGACACACAAACCCTTCTAGCTCATGAAAGAGAATCTGCTCCGTCCCAGTCGTTAATTCGCCAGCTCAGGTAACCATGTTGTTGTGGTGAACTTTTACGTCTGAACCTTGGATACTGCTCAGTAAAAATCTAGAAATTGTATGGATTGCTCCACAAGTTTCGTTAGAAAGCTATTGCTTTGCTCCGATTTGTTTCTAACTTGCTAATGTAATCTGAAAAGTGCATTTTTTACTTGTGGTCGCACTACATAATGCATTAGTGGTGATATCTGAATGGTGAAGACTTGCATTGGGGGGTAGTTTCGACGAACTCTTTGTAAACGCTTATAAAGGGACGAAGGGATTTTTGCAAAAAAGAACATTGAGTATAATGCACCATATACTTCTATGGGCGGAGGTGGTGCAGTGGCAGCTGGCGCACTCTCAGGCACGCAAGGTCCGGTGATGATATCTTGGATCGATCGATCACACCAAACAACCTTACATCGCTACGGTATCGCTTGATTGACACAACACTTATTTGGGAGAATAAAAGCACTGGCATGTACATCGCCACGGCAACTCACTGATTAGGTCACATGCGCACTGTCTTCTATGATCCTGAATAAAAGTCGAGTGCGGGTGCATCCCAAAAACGGGATAGGTTGATGCCAAAGACTTTTCCTTTCTAAGCACGGGACATCCTAAAGATTGGCACGTGATAGTATTGGAGAGAGTGGAAAGATTCCCCAATTCGCGCTTTGTGGAAAATGGTCCTAAAATAGGACGAGCTGCGGTTAGGACACGGTAAAGAAACAGGAGTGCAACCACCACCAAATTCTGTTTAGCTTGCTTATAACTAGAATATGATGTTGATGTCTGAGATTTTAAGTGAGCTTGATTTGCAGCGTTATTTCATGCTGAAAGCTAGTATCTATTATTTCTGCCTATTCAGAGAATTGTTCTCCCTAAATACTCCGTGCTTCATATTAATGGCATCATCGAAATTTTTCAGAGATCAACTGGAAGATGCTGAAGCTGCGAAAATGAGCGCGTTGAAGGGCCGTCATGGACTGGAAAGCGAGTTGAACGAAGTGCGAGTTCAGGTGAGTTTTGTTTTGATTCTAAAGAGCCGTTGAAACTCACTAAAAACAATCCAGCTGGAGCAAGCGTTGGTGGCTAAAAGTGCAGCCGAAGATAAGGCGTTGATTCTTCTGAAGGAGAAAAACAGTGGTATGGCTCTCATCGAAGAAAAGGATGAGCAGTATCAGCAACTGATGAGAAAGTACAAAGCGGCCATTCAACAGACGCATCTTGACCATATTGCGATGGTGGATCATATAGAGCAGGTAGGTGATCCAACTGAGAGCCTTTTTGAGTGTTTTCCAGTGTGTGCGCTGGAAATCCGTTTGATTTTAGATTGCTGAGCTCGAAAAGGCCAAACAGAAGCTCACAGAGCAGTTGAACGAGGAGACGTCGAATGCGGCATTCCTTGCTCAGCATACGGTAGAGAAACATAAATTGATACTCTCTGAACAGAAGACACGAGATCTGGAAGCTAAGCTGGATCTGGAAATCGCGCAGAAACAACGCTTAGAAGTATGTGATCAGGGGATTTTTTTTATTTCATTCCCTTTCTTCCCACCACGTTATCCCGTCACAAAACTGTGTATGTGGCCGAAAGTTCTGAGCGACAGAACAAAGAATTTCATTCGTTTTCAGTCTATAGTCATCAAGTTGCGAGACGAGGTCGATTCTCTACAGGAGCAGATTACAGAAGCGGGTACCAGTCGAGACAAGGAAAGTGAGGCACTGAGGAAAGCAAGGTGAGGCTCCACCAGTAGCATCTTGCCTTGACGAGGATCTATCGTTTTGTAGGAAGGAAAATCAGCAGCTGCAGGAAACAATCGAAGAGTTACAGAAGCGAGATTTAGATTCGGCACACAAGAAAAAAGCCTCGGTGAGTATTCTAATTATTTTCAATAATAATAGCACAATTTTTCTGAATTTTGCACGTGGTTTTCAAATAATCATGTTTCCTAAAAGTAATGCACTTGCAAGTTACATGGGTACTACTGCAGCCAGATCGGCTCCTCTCCAGCTATTAGGTTTTGCTCGGCGCTCACGTCAGCTTCATATTAAATGGGAAGGTAGTGCAGCGAGTGCAATGTACATTTTAGTCATTTTTCTTGAAGGCACTGTTCACAATGAAATGGTTCTGAGTTTTCTTCCCTGAATGAATCTGTGACCCCCAGAGATAGCCTAGGGGACGCTGTCAGGTTGAAGAGCGGCTGAGGTAGTAATAAGGGTCCCAGAACCGGCATACGTATATACATCGAAGGCGGACGAGCTCTTAAGCGTTGTGAAAGCTGGGAGGTGGCACCATTCGCACCGAAACTCACAACTTTCACGAGGCAGCTTACTGCAGTCATTTGTATGCAATGGTGCGCACATTTGAATAGCTCGTCCAAGCATCCCTTCCCCGCAACTTTTGTGTTCACATTCTCGTTCAACCCCTAATTCTACTACTTTTTGAAGCCTTCTATTTCTCTGAATTCACCGATTTTCGCATTTTCTTGGCCATTTTTGCACTATTCTGGGCTATCGCTCCTATGGTCGTCTCGATACTCCAGAACTATCGTGACTGTCAAGTACGGCTTTCTATGAATCTCGGCACAACTGTATTGTTGAGTTTGTTTTTCTGAACTCTTCACGAGGTTGTAAACAAGCTTTATTAGGCTGACGTTTCGGCGACATCGCCCTCTTCAGAGCCTGAAAGGGTCATAACAATCTGAGACTATCCGACCAAACGTCTCCACCAACTC